GCCTTGAGCGGTAAGGCGAGCTGGAGTTTACATGAGTCGTTTAGCTTGTGTGAAGTGCGTTGCGCCGTAAAGCGATTAACATGCATATGCAAGATTGCACGCGCCTTACGACGGTAGGAAAATGCATGCGTTAATCTATGGAAAAGCACAATATGTACTGCGCCCTCATCACTTCCTGCCTCCCACGTAGTATGGAGCCAGGGGCTATGCCGAGAGCTGAAATTATGTTGCAAGGTACAAAAAGTGCGTCAGGTTACTCGACTGGCTGGTAGTTCCCGCGCACACCTTGCGTAGGGGCATGCAGAGATGACAACGGACACACAAGAAAGCCGGATAAAATCCATTAAAGCCGAAGAAGGGAAACGAAATGGATTGCAGATTTACAGCGGCAGAATGGCTTTGGAGCGTTGCAAAGCGGAGGTGGTACGAGACGCTCCTACAAAACTGGAATACCTGCACTGGTATCACCGTTCCACGGATTGGGTTAGAACGTAAAAGAACAAAAAAAGTCGAGTTTCAAAGTGGGGTTTTTTCCACTACCGTGGCAAGTGGAAATGGCCCAAAAATTTTCACAGGCTTATCGCCGGTAACAGTACTTTTTGAAGCTGAAGTACAACTGCATGATACCGCGGTCAAATACGTTGCGAAACCCTCTGAATCGTTCTAAATGCCATTCGCGATTCAAAACCTTGAATGCGACATCTTCATAGGGTGGACCTGCATGGAAGCGCACGATGATAGTGTCTGGAGTATCCGACGGCTCGAGAGTCCACGTTGGGGTCTTTGTCTTGTCGATTAAATCCGGGTAGAAGATGTTGAACTTGTACCCCTGCACGATCTTTGGGGGAGGGTTGTCGTGATCGTAGTGCGTCTGGTTGTACTTGTTCCAAAAATAGCACGTACGCACACGATTGAAAAAACGTGGTTTTCTGGGTCGGTATTTCTCCTCCCACCCGTAGTGCTGCGCGCATCAACAAGCGACGCCGAAGCTCCCGTTGGCATTCATCACAAGTCACATCACGCCAACAGAAAATGCACTTTTGCAATAACAATGGTGTCCACAACGCAGGCGCAGGCGCACAGATGCAGCATTTGTATTGTATTTGTCTTCAGGGCCTGCACAATGGCCGCCCGGGTTTCCTAGCACAGCGATGAAGTAAAATTCTATTTCTTAAGTACCTGTTTCAGCTTCATTTCAGATGAGTCTGCAAGGACCTCTTCGTCCGGACTTGCATTTTTCTGTTCCTTGCGCACGAAATCCTCGTACCTGGAGGTGCAGAAACAAAAGCATTATTAGGACGATCGGTAGGATGTAAAGGTGCATTTAAACACATCGAATAACTCATTGACTGGCAAGAAGAGCTGTGCTGAAAATAGTCCACTGGCCGCTTGCGCTTTAGAGAGGCACAATCAGCTGCATGAAATGCACATCTGCGAAGCGCGTTGCTTACGTCACGATCTTCGCTGCAGGATCTAAGATCTCCTCGTCGTCTTCCTCCTCCGGTGTATTTTTCTCCTTGTCTAGACCCAGCTGAATCAGCCGCCTTTCGCGTTCGCGATGCTTGGCGATCTTCCGTTCAGCCATTCGCTGTTCAAGTTCCTCGTCAGGGTGCAAGATGTTGGTTTCCATGCGGAATTCATCAAAGGGGTACAAGAGAGGTGAATAGGGGCCCCTGGGTTTGGGAGCCTCTGCCTCATCTTCGTACGGTTCAAGTTCTGGCGAGTAGCTCCCGTCCGCCCCAGGGTTTATCTCCTTCTCCACGACGCGCGCCATACGTTTCGCCTGTTCCTGTATTTGCTGCACTTTCTGTTGCTGACGTGCCTCTTCTTCTGTCGCCAACAACAAGTCGTCTGTCAGCCCTGCTTCCTCCGCACGCGCCTTCAGCTGCTCCGCCTCCGCCGCTGCCCGTTCGCACTTCAGCTGATGGTCCAGCTCTGCTGCCTTCTGCTGAATCCGTTGATGGTACATCAAGCAGATCGCCCTCGCCTGCACACAGCAGCATCATTTACCCGAATGCACTCATGCATGCATGCAGATACAGTACCCTGACATGGGAGAACCGCAATATGCGACGGAGAAGAAATAACTGCTCCTTCATTCAACATGAGTGTGAGAAGAACCATGAAAAACTCGGAATCGCGTCAGAAGCGCGCGCATGCTGGGGTCCCAACAATTTTGCTTCGAGTGTGCTGATTACCCTGAACAAGGGGATCTTCTGGAGAATTGCTTCCCAGTAAGCTGAGTCTACATCTTCTTCGGTTTCAAGTTTGATCTTGATGCTTTCTTTGAGCGCGTCGAGTTCTTCGGGTGTCTTTCCGCTGAGAATTGCTGTAATATCCGAGGCGACGCCCACGGCAATGCCGGATTCTGTGTCTCGCACATCTCCTACTGAAGTGTTGTTGGCTAGAATGGCTGCTGCTTGTGCTGCAGCATCTGCAGAGGAGTTTTTGCGGAGTTCCTCAAGCACCTTTTTCTTCCGCTCTGCCTTTTCTAGAGCGTCTTTCGTCAACACCAGCAACGCCTGCCAGAAGTCCTGGTAGTCTTTATCCACTGCAGTCGTATCCACCCCGATATGCAGCTTCACGTCCGACAGCATTTCCTCTATCATTGGCACTGTCATTGCTGCAGCAGCAAATGCAGCAAACACGCAAGAAGCAAGCAGACCTTCAAGACAAGAACTATCCTTTTTTATTTTCATTATTTTGGACAGCTTAGCACCGGTTCACAAACAATCTAAACACAAACACAAAACCTCTGCTTATCTTGATGCCGCGTTCCATTTAAATTCAAAACAAACTTGTGAATAAATTGCAGTGAGGTGCCATTCAGCAAATGTACGTCGTTTTTCATCTACAAATATTCAACTGTAACACATTCTACTTATATAACAGCATGAGACTTTGGAAATAAAGACAATACTACCCATACGCCAAACGTGAGGGCTAAATGCAAGCGAACAAACCAAAGCAACACTGTCGGCCAGCTGCAGTGTACAAACATCCCCAGGCCTGCTTGCAGCTCTTCAAAAGATTGGAGCTAATTCAGTTCAGAGATCCGGCATTCCCTCACTACCCACCGCAATTGGTGCTCTGTACCGACACACTGTAGTGTACAGACAGCTCACGTTCTTTGTTGAAGGAGTCAAACACTTCATGAGGAGGGACCGGAAGTACAGATACTTTTTCGAATTTTTCTCCATTGAGCATGCGCAGCCCTTTGACGATAAAGTCGATGGGTTGTTCTCTGTTTTGTTCTGCCCTAATTTCCGTCTTCCTTAAGTGCATTTGCCTGTGAAATACTTCTTCTTTTTCAAAGTAGTCCTGGAAGTGCTCCCTCTCCTTCTCGCGCTGTAGCTCCTCTCGCTGCGCCTGCATCAGCTGCTCTTCTGCTTCACGTTCTTCTCTGCGTTTCTTAACGCTCTTGATTTCTTGCTGCATGCAGCAGCAGCACTCCACAGCACTTGTTTTCGTTAGAGCACTTACAAGTGTAGGTCATCCACGGTGGGCGGTGCTGTTGAGATGTACAGACAGCTCACCACTTTGCTGACGGATGTCGTCAGTAGCGCGTTGACAGTTGTCGCATGTTTCTTTCCTGCTGCTTGCAGCAGCAAATTCTTCTTCTTCCACACGAAGGGCTCAGCCAGCAAACGATCACCAAACGGGTTGTTGTCGTTGCTGTAGCCGAAGTGTTCACTTAGCAGCTTCTTCCTCTCCGCCTGCACCACACAGACCGCAAACACCAGCCAACCCTAAACCCTAAACCCAACTATCTATCACCTTAGACGAGGAAAGAGGACCCCTCCTCCCTCCCTCCGTCTCCGCCTTTACAGCGTCCAAAACCCTAAAGCCTAAAGCCTAAACTCGCAATATACGCTGCCATCTACCATACATAATTGCATAAATACCTACGCGCAGCTCTTGCACTGTCACAGGCCTTGCAGGTCGTGCGGCAGACGCCATTGTTGCCCTGAACGCAGCAGCAGCGCTGTAAGTTTCAAGCACGATTAAAGCCCCAACGCATGCATATACACATGCATGCATGCATAGAAAACAGAAAGAGGAGAAAATGCAGCATAGACGCACCCATACTTCCCCCGTTGATTCGAAGCACTACCGTGGCCTCCATCGCTTTTGTTGCCCTGAACGCAGCAGCAGCGCTGTAAGTTTCAAGCACGATTAAAGCCCCAACGCATGCATATACACATGCATGCATGCATAGAAAACAGAAAGAGGAGAAAATGCAGCATAGACGCACCCATACTTCCCCCGTTGATTCGAAGCACTACCGTGGCCTCCATCGCTTTCGCTTGAGGTGCTGCCGCGGCGCCTCTTCCCCATTTTTGCTGCTCTTCACCGCCTCCCTAGATAAGTTGAATAATTAAACAATGTAATTGAACAAATTTCAACAAAAGCCGCCTCTCAAGCCCCAAACACCCACTGCTGCTGCCTCGCCGGTTGGTTTGCTCGCAGCAACCGCCGCGTCTGCAGGCGACGCCGCCTGAAAACTTGGATGAAAATCCCTTTTAATTCAAAAAAAGCAAACAAAAGATGCTAAACCTTAAGCCCTAAACCCTCAACCTGTGAGGGTCCCGCTGGCCCGGCTCATTCGGCCGCCGAGCTTCTCCTAACTGCACCGCCGCTTCTGCTAAGAGGGCAGATTGTGAATACAAATAAAAGTACTTATAAGTTCTAAAACAGTTTAAAAAAAAACAGATCACTGGGCGTCAAGGAAAGCGCAGACGCCTCAGCAGCTGCATTAACAGCAGCAGCAGCTGCTGCTACGCCGGCGCGCTGCATGCATGCGGCGTGCATGCAGACCTTTGGGACTTTCTCCCGTGCAGGGCTCTGTGGGGAGCTGTTAACTGAACCAAACTAATGTTGCTGATGTTGTACTCGGTGGAATTACTGTTGCAGCACCACCCGCGCTCATATGGCAGCCTAGAGGCAAGAGGGCAAAAGCGGCAGCAGCTGCAGCTGCTGCTGCTGCTGCCTTCATAGAAAACAGTACCAAGAGGCTCTTCTACTGCTTAACGGGATGCGCCTCCGAATGAATTACAACGTAACAAGCAGCCAGCCATAGGCCACATGGTGATGCATGCATGCATGCATGCATTCGTGCATCGCCATCTACCTAAGAAAGAGAGTGGCAGCAGTCGCTGTTGCTGCACATGTGGGGCGTACATACACCGCAGATAAAACGGCAGGCCTCTTCGTCTGTGTCTTGCTACTGTTGCTTTTTATAATCACCGCGAGCTGTAGAACAGTCTCCTCATTTGCTTGAAAGGCGTTTGCTAGAGAAGAACGAAAGGGCTGCAGGCCTTAGTACTTTTATTTTGTAGCAAAAGAAACAACGTAGGGGAGCCAACCTCAAACGAGGCGGGGACCTGAACTACTCTATTACCCACAACCGCTATGCCTTTACTACTTTATTACTATGGATATTAACTAGCCGGCATCGTAAGCAATAGCGAGGAATAATCATTTATTATTATTATTCTTATTATTATTACTCTATTTAGTGTTCAAAATGATAAAAGCAGTCGACACTCTCTATTAATGGCTACCATGGCTATACTGTGGTCCGCATGCAAGCAGCGCAGCCCAAGTTTAAGGAAAAGTCATAATTGTAAATGCTCAAGAATTTTAAATGAAGAGCTTCAAAGGGGGCAGCTGCTGCTGCCACGCAACCTCTGCATGTCGGCGATGCACTGTACATACACCGCAGACTACAAATACAAAACTATTCATCTTGCCTTTGAGGCACATCATCATATCATCACTTCTTCGTCATGCAACTGGCTGCCAGCCCCGAACTGCACCCCAGCAGCAAGCAGGCGGCAGCAACTGCTGCCGCAACTGCTGCAGCAGCACTGCAGTGGCAACTGCTACTGGTGCGGCTGAAGCATCTCGCGTGTTTGTCTGCCTCCTGCTGTCTACACATATTTACGTGCAGCAGCAGCACACCGCAGCATTTACATACAACTCTGCTTGGAGAAATACGCCAGCCGGCACTGCCACCACCCCGTCTTTGTGAGCTGCTGCTGCTGTTGCTGCTGCACGAGACAGCAGCAGCAGCAGCAACATCACTCGCTCGCCAAACGGAAGGCCCCAATAGAAGAGGCCCTAAGAAGCCGCTTTCTCTGTGTGTGATGACCACAGCAGTGGCAGCTCACGCGCTGCACACGCTGCAGCTCCAGGTGTCTGTACACCTCAAAAGTTGGTGCACCTACTGAAGGCAGCCAAATAGGGAAATTTCCCCACGGCCTTGCGGCAAAGGCAAATCAAAGAGCACACAGAAACACAACAAATGCGGAAGGGGCCCCCTCTACGAAAGGGGGCCCCTACCCCCCTAGGGCCCTCCCTCTGAGAGGGGCCCCCCTTGGGGCCCCCGCTAATGCGAAGGGGCCCCTTTAGGGTCCCAGTTGTGAGAGGGGCCCCCCGTAGGGGCCCCTCTTGCGAGGATGATAGTGTGGATTGAGATAACAAAGGAGAAGGGACTAGCACATAGACCGAATCATTGGCTGTTTCTGTGCATTAGCAGCAAGTGATTGAAGCGGTTACGTGGCTCTCCTTTTCCTGTCGTTTAAAACAATTCACAAGCTGCTGCATGCTGAATGCTTGCAGGCTGCTGCATCTGCATCTGCATCTGCTGCTGCGGGCTCAAAGCTTTTTGTACTGTGTCAAGACGAGCGCGGCGTTGTGACCGCCGAAACCCAAAGTATCTGTTAGCACAGCCTGCAGCCGTGCAACACCCACACACTCTCCCCAGTTAGAGCTGCTGCTGCTGCTGCTGCCATGTTGTGTTATGTTATTCTTAACAATGCTGGTGCTGTTCGTGCTGCTGGTGCTGGTGCTGGTGCTGTGGCTGCTGCTGCTGATGCTGTTGTGTGCATTATTGTTTATGGGTAATGGGTTTGCGCATGCGTCTTTCTCCTTACCTTGGGTGGCTGCTGCATGCGTACAGCTTTGTTCGGTACATAATTTAAGTCGCACTCGGGATCGGGAGTTGTGTAATTCAAAGTGGGGGGAACATTGCCTGTCTGCAGCACTTTTGCTGCAACGACGGTTTCAATGCCTGCTGTTGCTCCAAGGCAGTGCCCAGTCATTGGCTGCAGCGCAACAAAAGAAATGCTTATCATTTATTTATTTATTTATTTATTTATTTATTTATTGCTGCTGCACCAACGAATACACAGAAACAGCAGCAGAAAATAAGCTGCATGCCGCACGGCGCAAGCATCAACAGCACCAACTCTTATTGCAACATTAGTATTTGCGCTTGCTGCAGCAGCAACAGCACCATCAACACTTATTCCCACAACACCAGCACCCCTTATTTTAGCAGCAGCAGCACTTATTGCAGCAGCAGCAGCATCAGAAGCGTCTGCACATTATTGCGTTTAACTTCACGGCGACGTTCAATGCAGCGACATAAGCTTTCTAGATACCGCAGCAAGACATAAGCTGCTGCTGCAGCAGCAGAATAAGCAGCAAACGGTGCAGCAACAGAAGGGAACGTCGTGTGGGTGCGTCTTTATCTTGCCTTTGTAGATGAGATCAGCAGCTTTCGTGCGTGGTCTCCAAATACTTTTTTAATTGCTTTTGTTTCAATCTTGTCGTTGTAATGTGTTGAAGTGCCGTGGGCATTAATATACCCCACGTCCTCCGGTGCAACCCCACTGCAACCAAACGCACAAACACCCTTAACCGTTTGCTGCTCCCGCTGCTGCTGTTATTGTTGCTGTTGCTGCTATAGGCGCTGCTCCTGCTGCTGTTGCAGTGGCTATGCAAACAGCCTAAAAGGAAAGAGCATATCCGTAGCAAGAATTCATAGTTCAGATGCATCTGCAGCAGCAGCGCCAGCAGCACCATTAATTGCAGCAACGGAACCCTGCACACACGCGTCATCCTGCTGCTGATGCTGCTGCTGCTGTTGCTGCTGCTGCTGCTTACGCATCTTGGAGGGCCAATTCCATGCAGCGAGCAAGCCCATCTCCCTCTGGGGAGGGGGCTGTGATATGATGGGCGTCGCAAGAGGCTCCGTAGCCCGCGAGCTGTCCGTAGACCTGAGCGGCGCCGCGGCGAACTGCATGCTCTTCTGTTTCCAGGACAATCACTCTGTATGAAAAACGCAAACCAGAAGCTCGGAAAGAAACAAATGCAGCAGCAGCAGACAGAGGGCTACGCTGCTGTTGCTACACCTGCTGCAGCAACAGCAGATGCTGCATCTTCAACGGCTGCTTAAACCCAACTCAACAGCAGCAGCAGCTGTACTCCCCCGCAAAGGCTACTGCTGCTGCTGCAGCAGCCTTAAGCGCAGCAGCGAATCATGGCAGCAGCAAAAGCAAACCCGCTCTAGCAAGACCACCGGCCGCAGCAGCAAACTGCGCGAACACCCGCTGCAGCAGAACCCCCAGCAGCAGCAGCAGCAGCAGCAGCAGCGCATGCATTTGGTTTACCCTGCTCCTTCTCCCATAACGAATCCTGATCTATTCTTATCGAAGGGGCGACATGCTTCTTTTGGTCTATCATTAAAGCCCAGGGCCAACGCCTTAAGAGCATTGAACCCAGCAAACGACAGCCGCGTTATTGACGCCTCAGCACCGCCGCACAACACAATATCCGCGTCCCCTGACTGCAGTGTACAGACACCACAACAAACGTTGCTGCTCCTGCTTCTGCTGCTGCTACTGCTGCAGGTGCTGCAGCAGCAGCACAACAAGCCTTCAAGGGAGAATGAGTATAGAGTCATTTACTGGAAGAGGCATCGCCCCATGCAAAAAGACATTTAAAAGAAACCCCCTTTAAATTCAACTTATTGAAATATCAGCAAAGAAAATCGTAATAACAAAATAATCAACAAGCGAATTAATAGAACGGCGCATATATATATATATATATATATATATAGACAGCCTCACGACGGAGTACCCCACAGCAAAGGTATTATGTAAGCCGTTCTAAAGCAGCAGCAGCAGCAGCAGCAGCAGCAGCAGAGAAATCCACTGCAAGCAACGGGGAGACGATCTCCCTGTTCCCATGACAAAAACAAATAAGTCATCAAGCACCACTCTGTAAAAAAGAAAAACAAAAGATATAATTAGATATATGCAATACCTGAAGAAGGCGAAGAGCAGCCCCAATCGCATGCCCTGAGGTGGCGCATGCAGAAACAGCGCCGTGGTTGGGGCCCTTCGCACCGATTTCAATCGCCACTTGAGCAGGTGCAGTGTTCTGCAGCAGCAGCAGCAGAAGCACAAGCAGTAGCAGCACGGGGAAGTGCAGTCCTCGTCAGCAGCAGCTGGTTGTGCAGCAGCAGAAAACTGCCTTCCTTATTAACTTTTTTCGCTGTCTTCGTCTCTGTGTTTGCATGCATACTGCTAAACGCCAATGATTTCTAACAAAAACAAAGACCCCCCAACCAACGTATTCCTGTCTGCTGCTGCTGCTGCTGCAGCTGCAGATCTCAGCCGCAGCAGAGACAGCAGCAGAAGACCCTTCAGGCAGCCAAGGCCCCCGTTTCCTTTCGCTGCTTGCTCTCTAGCAAATCTTTAAAGCAGCAGCTAGCCTCATTTGATCAGCAGCAGCAGCCACAACAGCAGCAACAACAGCAGCAGCAAGAGTAGCAGCAGCAGCAACTGCAGCAACAGCAGGCGTACAGCGATCATAGCGGGGATGAGGTAGGGGGAAACGCGTCTGGGGCCGGAGGTGCGCAGCACATTGTCTTGCTGCTCCATAAACCCTAAACCCCCAATACCGGAGCCAATCACAACCCCAAACCGCTGCATGTCTATACCTTCCATCGAATCAAGGCCTGAACAGCAGCAGCAGCAGCAGCAGCAGCAACAGCAACAGAAGGCACTGCCAGTATGAGGAGATAGAGCAAGCCAAGGGGTTTAAAGGGCTCATGACGGCCTCATAAGACTTATTGAAGTACAAGAAGATATATTAATATATTTCACGCTTAATTAAGCTTTATTAGGGTATATTAGGGTTTAGAAAGGTTTACAGAAATATCTCAAAGTTAATGAAAGCTTATCAGCGTATGATGGGGCTTCCTAGGGTTTGATGAGGAGTAAGAAAAACACGAGGGTAGATTAG